AACCTCTTCTGTACAAAATAAAAACACACACACACACACACACACACTCACACACTCACCAGACATGGTGGCGTGCTCTTGTAGTCCCAGCTCTTTGTAGGCTGAGGTGGGAGGATGCATTGAACCCAGGAGGTCATTCAGGCTGGAGTGCCGTGGTATGATCATAGCTCATTGTAAACTCCAACTCCTGGGCTCAAGCGATCCTCCCACCTCACCCTCCTGAGTAGCTGGGACTATAGGCATGTGCCACCCACCTGGCTAATTTTTTAGAATTTTTAGTAGTAATGGGGTCTTGCCCAGGCTGGTCTCAAATTTCTGGGCCCAAGTGATCCTCCTGCCTCGGCTTCCCGAAGTGGAGGGTTTTTTATTTTTATTTTTACTTTTTTTTCTTTTTTTGAGATGGAGTCTTGCTCCATCATCCAGGCTGGAGTGCAGTGGCGTGATCTTGGCTCACTGCAACCTCCGCCTCCTGGGTTCAAGCAATTCTCCTGTCTCATCCTCCTGTGTAGCTGGGTCTACAGGCACCTGCCAACACACCTGGCCTAATTTTTGTATTTTTAGTACAGACGGGGTTTTACCTAGTTGGTCAGGCTGCTGAGTATTGTCTGCAGTTGCAACACAGTGTACCTAAACATTGAAACATGGAAAAGGTTACTGAGAAAATATGGAATTATAATCTTATAGGACATTGTCTTCTATGGGGATTGTCTGTTGACTGAAACACTATGTAAGGCATGACTGTTTGGAAAATAATGGTTCACTGAGTTATGCAGATCTCCATGTCACAGTTTATTATATAGTGTCAAAAACATCATATTATCACCACAATCTCTTCAGAGAAGTAGTTAAGTATTAGGAAGCAGTTAAACTCACAGTGGCAGTTACCATTTTGCCAAAATTCTGGTTTTTTTGGGAAGCTCACATTTTATCATTGGCAACAAGTATAGTCAGTTGTTTTCCTTGAAGTGACAGGCTTACTTTGTTTCATTTTCCAGAACCTTTGCCAGATACCAAAGTCTGAATAACTATTACTTGTCATTCATTCTTTTAAGTAAACATGGTGTTCCACAGAAAAATCCTGCAATTCAAACAATCACGCAGTGCTTTATCAACACGTTCTGTATACAGCACAAATGTCTTATATGTCCTTCGCATTTTATCACACAGAATATTAAAGAGCATACTCAAGGATTGAGATTTAATATAATTTACACTGGGTAATCAAGTAAACCTGGCCTGTATCATTTCACTATGTGGTGGAAAAGTGTGTAGTGGTGAAGAATGTAACTTGGTGCCATTGTCTTGATTCATGCTAAGTCACCAGCAGTTTTACTCATTAATGCTTTTGCACTATCAGTGGAAAGGTCAGCACAGTAAAAAGGCAAATAACATCTTAGGTTTTTTCTTTTTTTTTTTTTCAAAGACAGGCTGGAGTGCAGTGGCATGATCGTGGCTTACTGCAGTCTCAACCTCCCATGCTCAGGTGACCCTCTTACCATAGATAGGCATGCACCACCACATCTAGCTGTTTTTTTTTTTTTTTTTTTTTTGTAGAAGGGGGTTTTCACCCTTTCCCCTGCTGGTCTTGAACTCTTGAGCCCAAGCAATTTGCCTGCCTTGGCCTCCCAAAGTGCTGGGATTACAGGTGTGAGTCACTGCACCCGGCTATCTCTTAGTTTTGTTATGAAAATAGTTTCTACCTAACAGGACCCGTGAAAGGGTTTTAGGATCCCCTCAGGGTCTGCAGTCCAGGCTTTGAGGATTGCTGCTCCAGAGCCCAGCTGAGAAGGAGGAAAGAGATTCCTTCCTGAAGCTGATAAAGGGCAAGGCTTTGAGTCACCCAGTTACATAAAGCCTTCCACTGGTTTCACTTTTCAGTAATTTGTAGATTTACCTTCCTCAGCTCTAGCTGCTGTAACCTGTGTCTTTTCCTCGGGTTTACTCATTTGTTTGGCATTCCTAAACTGTGCTCTACAAGAGCTACCTGTGACTTCACTAATCTTATACGGACCCACCCTTCTCACTAGGCTGTGTTCTTGACCTTCCTCTCTTAGTAGGACTTTAAGAGATGTATTGTTCCTCCACCTTTCTTTAGGGACAGAGAGCTTGGGATTTATCTCATAAGAGAAAATGGATCTGATTCCTACACTCCCCTCTTTCTATTTGGTTCCAGGTAAGTCAGTTCTGTCTTCTAACATAACTGTTGGGGATTGAGGGAATCTCATCAGAGTTCTTGTGGACTATAGACTGAACCATTTCTGATGTCCTGAGTTCCCCCGGTGACCTAAGGAAACAACTCGTTGAAGGAGGAAAGGGAAACTGCATTTCCCAAGAGCCACACTCTCTTACAGTATAGGAGAATGATTTAATCAGTGGGTAATGAATTGCTTTCTCTAGAAATAGATACCTTGTCCAAGTTGGTCTGGGCCTGGTCCCTGGAGACTTGTTGTTGGTTTGTGACAACAGCAATAGATGTTCTAACATAGGCTACCAATCATTCACACTCCTTTAAGGAGGAAACTTGAGGGAAAATTACTCCATAAAGATTGGAGGACAGAACTGTATAGGCAGTTTCTGAATGCTACATGAAGATGACAAAGTAGGATGTTCAGATTCCTGAGACTGGGTGTTTGAGAAGGGGAGAGTCTGGAGCCAGGGCCATCAGTCAGGATGCTACCTTAGTAGTCCTGCGCTTAGTGTTAGAGCGTTAGAGACTGGGCTGAGGCAGCCATGCAAATAGAAAGGGATGTTTCAGGCCATTTTGTTAATCTGTACAACTCTCTGCAGTTCTTTATTCTTGACTCATCCCTTTATTCAAGTTTGTTTTTTTTTTTAAAGACGGGGTTTCACCATGTTGATCAGGCTGGTCTTGAACTCCCAACCTCAGGTAATCCTCCTGCCTTGGTCTCCAAAGTGCTTGGATTACAGGTGTGAGCAACCACGCCTGGCTTCAGGTTTTATTTTTAACAGTTTTGTGGAGGTATAATTCACGTTGAACATATCCATTGTTTCCAAGTCAGTTGTTTTGAAAACTTTGTTCTAGGAAGCCTTAGTGTTCAATGAAGTTGTTGGGGGAGGAGATGGGCAGTATTGCTAATAGGAAGCTAAAGTGGACCAGGGTTCTTCTCACCC